GTTCCGTGGATCGACTGCTTTCCCTGCCCTCACGAATCCCCTTACATTTCCCGAGCCCCCTGTGGGTGAGTTTCAGCATCTTAGCTTATCAACCTCATGATGATGAAGCAAACTCTCAAAACCACTGACCTCTTCGCTGCAGCCGCTCCCTGGCCGGGAGACGCGGGGTCCCGGGAGATGTGCCGCTAGCGTTTCCGTGTGTCTGGGTGTGTCCGCTGGTCCATGTCTCAGCTGGACTGTGGTTTGTGTGCGATGTCCCGGCGTGGCTGGCACCTCTCGCACCCTGACCACCTCCCCCTCTCCCAGGTGGTCCAGCACGACCCGTGTCGGGGAGGCGCCGGGTACTGGAACAGCCTCTTCCGGTTCAAGCACCTGGCCACCGGGCACTACTTGGCAGCAGAGGTGAGTGGCCGCGGGGTTTCCTCCTCCAGGCGGACGCTGCCCCCGTCCGCCCTCACCCGGGCTCTGGGCCGCCAGGGGCTTAGGTCATGCAGACACCTCGCTCCTCGTCTGGCTCCTGTCTCCTTTGCCCCCTTTCCCTGCGTACAGACAAGAAAAGGTAACGAACGGTGGTTACACGCCTAGGACTTCACACCGATTTCCACCAAGATGTGGGGAGAATGCTAGCCAGAAGGCAGTGCCGTCCTGGGGATGTGACGGACAGCGTGGTGACTGCAGGGATAATGCTGCCTGGAATATTTGACAGCTGCTACGAGAGTAGATAAAAAAAACACACACACACACACAAAAAAAAACAAAAACGCTAGTTTGGGTGTAGGACTGTTGTTCCGTTTTGCTCATTCACACCGCTCTCCCCACATCTCCCCCTTCCGCCCGCTCCTGACGGGAATGACCAGGGCACACTGTCCTGACGCACGGCACGGGAAGCCGGCAGCAGTGAGGCACGGTTAGCTCCGTGGGCACCTGGTTCTCAGAGCATTCGTGGCGTAGGCAGGGCCTCATCTTCTGCTCGCGAGAAGCCAATATCGGAGATGTGGCTGGGAAGGGTGCTGGAAGAAAGGCAAGACTCACATCCAAGGGCAAGAGTTTACCTCTTAATTTCTGTGCCAAGTTAAGGAGCCTGCCACCCTCCCGGGTGACAGATGTCGAGTTTCCCTCTGATCTGCCGCACCCTGTAGGATGCATGTTCGCATCAGGGCCCAGGCATAATTCAGACGACACCTCGCTGCCAGGGGCCAGCGGAGGGGCTCCTCAGAGATTCTCGGGGAGCCTGGCCCATAGCTGACCGGGGAAGCCCAAATCTCATGCACCCGGCCCCCCGGGAGCCCGACACACGTACGAACTGGTGGCTTTGAAATCTGTGAGCGCTGAGGACCAGACTAAATTCACACGAAGCCTCGGGCTGTTCCCCGGCTCGGCCGTGACCGGCAGGGCTCGCCACGTTCTGAGGCGCGTGTGCCTCCTGGGGCTGCAGACGTCTTATTTCTCAGCACAGTGAGCAGGCTAGTCTGTGACCGGACCAGCTGGTCTGCCGGTGTCTCGGGCTTCTCACGGCAGTTCTGCTAGCGAGTTCGTGCTCTGCTGTCCGTGCCCGCGTGCCGGCCGTCGGTGGCGGGAGGTTGTCCGTGCGTGTCGTGCACCTGTGGCGTGTCCTGCACCTGTGGCGTGTCGTGCACCTGTGGCGTGGCGTGCTCCTGTGACGTGTGTCGTGGCATGCTGGTTTCGTGAACAGAGGGAAGGGACGCGTCCTCAGCTGCTGAGCGACGCCCTCAGGCCTTGGCGTCTCCCACGAGTGGGACCGAGCCCGTGAGAAATCGGCGGGTGTTTTAATTTCCCGATGATTCTTTCCCATCAGGTAGACCCTGACTTTGAGGAAGAATGCCTGGAGTTTCAGCCCCCAGTAAGTATGGGCCAGCGCCAATCTCCTCGCCTGGTAGGGCGAGGCCGCGTGTCCTGACCTCATTGACGGAACTGCCACTGTGGTCGCCGGGGGCTGGGGACAGGGACGCCTCCGGCTGCCTCCGAGGAGGGTCTTGTCTGTGCTTCCCTTGAGGGCAGTCATGCCTCCTGCGTCCTGATTGGTTCACGAGACTGTCCGTCATGATGCTCCTCGCGTGCTTTCTCAGAGGGTCTCCACTGTGAGTGGGGGCGTTTCCGACGGCTCTGGGAAGACTCGTAGGCTGCAGAGGTGACGGCCCCGTAGACGGCGGCCTTTTACCAACAAACGTCCTGCTGCTGTTGACCTTGACCTGTCACTCATTCGGAATTTCCAAGGAGTGCGTGCGCGGGGTGGGCGGTGTCACTTACTCTGTGGAGTTAAAGCCGCCATCTGCATGGCCCCCTTGTCCGGCCACGGGTTCTCGCTTCTGCAGAGTCAGGAGTGGACTTTAGGACGTGGGCAGGAATCGTGACGCCGGCTGGACCTTGCTCTGGAGGCGGTTTTGCCCATCAGTCCCGACGCGCATTCCCGGCCTTTGTGCTGCCGTCGAGGGGACAGCGTACGGTCCCCCGGAGGTTACTGGGTGTCGTGGAGCGAGGTCTGATGTGCAGGTGGACCTGGAGTGTGTGACGGAACGCAAGGCGGTGACAGAGCGTTCAGATAGCGGGCCCAGCGCTCAGACGCTGTGGAACTTGGGACCCCTGCGTTCCCTCTCGGAGCCTCCACCCCCTTGTCGGCAGCTGTGCGAGCGCACTTGGCATAAGGACCAGGCGCGGGCTGTGCGGACGGAGGGTCTTGGGGAGCTCTCAAGAAATGGCTGCTGTAAGTTACAGGATCGTTCGCATCTCGGTGTGTCTGTCCTCCAGTCCCGCTGGGGGCTGGCACGTGCGGAGGCATTAGGGCGGCCCTCACGGTCCGCGCGTGGCCGATGAGGACGCAGACAGCGGTCCTGGCTCGTCCGCGTGTTGGGTCCTCCCAGAGTGCAGGCCTCTCCCCTCTGTCTTGCTCCTTTTTTTCCTGGGACGCTGCTCCCGGGGCTCTGGCGTGGGGCTCGCTCTGCACCATGCGGCCGGCAGGCGTTGGCGTTGGCGTTGGCAGCCTTCCCGCTCTCTGGGCTGGGAAACAGGTGGTCACGTCGGGAGAGGACCCCTCGCGTTCTGCTCCCTGCTCCCGTGTCTCCTCACACTGGCCTCAGGCCTGTGCTTCTGTCTGTCTGGGCCCTCCCTCTGCTTTGTCACTTGCTCTTGACCTTCTACACTCGGGGCACGGGCTCGATACCAGGGGGAGAAAAAGGACCCCCGAGGCTGGCCGGCCTCGGAGGGCCTTCTGCAGTGTGCCAGTCCTCCCACTAGGGGGCGACCGCCGACGCGCACAGAGAATGAGGCTGCCCCAGCCCGTTCCCAGACACAGGGACT